AAATCAATATTTCTAAAATCCCATACGTATTGTACTAGATATACCATTGAAGATCATGAGGAATTTTTTATTTGTACTCTGTTCAAATTTCCAACGGCTACACTGCTTGCCGCGGACCCCTTTATTTTAAAGGAGCATCGGAAATATGGCTGCCATTCCGCCATTTTGTAATATTATTTTATGAAAAAATTTTTACAAGTACTTCAATATATGCTTATTAACTTCACGGAGTATTAATACTTTATTTCATTTCCTTCCATTAAAAAAAAAATGTCGAAAAAGTGCAATTTTTTGGGCCGTTACAGTGGTGTTACCCCTTAATACATGCGAATGCACCCTGTCTTAAAACTTATATTAAAAGAAATGTGTCTTATTTATATCGATTTCGATGATTTGAATATTTTCCGAAATTTTTACATACTCAAATATAATTTAATATAGCATTTACAATTCCAATTGTTCGAATTAATTATTTAGTGCTATCTAATACGCGTTCGATCGATAATTATAATTGATATAATTGATTTGCGTATTTACAGTGTATGAACAACAACAACATGGAATCAATATTTCGTTCGGTCTTGCTTGTGGCATGCGTCAAAATCTATGTAAAGTCATTAATATCAATTTTAACTTTTCGTTTTTATGAAAAATGGTAAAAACATACATACTTGCAGCGATTTTAATTTTTAATTTAAATTATTTAATCTAGCGACGACATATGTATATTTTTCTGCACAAATGTTAAAGTACGTTCTTGATATAAAAAAAAAAAAAAAATAAATTCACTCAGTTGCAATTCGGTGCGTAAATCTGTGCAATCATATAGCGCTATTCGAGACGAGAAGAAATTAAATGTCAGAATGTGAGAAGCTTTTTACAAACGTCACAGGGCTGAATGTCACGAAAGAGAACGTAAATAAAAATCCGATCGATTCTCAAATCGCCTGCTAAATACAAAATTCTGCGGAATATAAAATTTACAACACTGAAATATCGCGATTTTTCGAGAGGTGACAAAATTCTCGAGGTATTTCCAAGCGCAATATAAAACTAATCGCCGAGAGGGAACGATGTCCGAGTCGCCAAGTCGGCGAATCGCGGTTAAAATTTATCGCGTCGCCGCGGACGTGAAGATAGCATCGGAGGAGTGTGAGTAGCAGCGCGCGGCCGATTATCGCGCCGGCAATTTTATGAAATACGGAAAATTGCACAGATCGAGCACTCCGGTCACGTTTTATTTTCCATTGAATCCCATCCACGTAGCTTGCATTCCCAAGATTCGACTGCTCGTAAAGCGTAAACCGTAAGGCAATCGCTCCTCGCCTTAACGCCTTCGCGTAAATCGGTTTCTCGCGATGCGGATTACTTGGATTATCGAGGGGAGGGGGAGAGGGAAGCCCTCCGATCTCTCGTCGGCGGTCTTCTCTCCCGATTTGCGGGCGTAGGATGGGCGGATTTCGCGCGCCAGATCCACCGCGAAGCTACCCGCGCTTCCGGCATTAGCATCGACGTTTGCTTAACTAAGTGCCTTTCTTACCGAAAGAGATGCAACTCCCTGTACGAACGCGACTCCTGAATCCGCGTTCGCGTCGGGAACGCGCGATTCCGTCGCGGCCGAGATGCGCGCGACGAAAGGTATATACGCGCACTATATTCAAGTTCTTCGTCTTGATTTCCGACGCATAATCTCGCGGTCGATAATCGCGGTGGCGCACGAAGTGAGTGTTCTTCATTTTCCAGGATCTGATGAGCAACAACTCGATACCGCGTCGTCTCGTCCGACGTCGGACAACAGGTCAGAAGATTTATGGGTCCGTGTATTCGTGAACGTTCGTGTGCCTCGCACACTTTCTTGCTATATGTATAGTATACGCACCACGTAATCTGGCGTGTAATCGCTAATAGGCTATAATTCACGATGCCTTTTGTAGGGAACAATAATTAATTAACCGAGAGCCGCTAGTTTATACGAGAGGAATCGCTATTTTTCCTTGATTGGCAGTTTTCTCCTCCCCTCGTGTAAAAGCATCGTGAATTATGCGCAAACACTGTGAACACGCTTTTTATCTCACAATCGGTCCATTCACGGAGTCCTTTTGTTGTCCCCCGTACAAACTGCGGTCGTCCCGCGGTCACACGTCTGCCGGGCGGAACGCGCGTGAAAACGCGTTCGCGTAGACAGAGGGGAGACGTACCGCGGTCGGATGTGAGCTTCGGGTTGGCCGTTGGCGCCAGCGCTTTTCATTTTCGTTTACACCGAGGATATGTACAAAATGATGAGGGACACCAGTAGACAGCTCGAGGACAGTATCGGCCCCGCGGTCCCGGTCTGCATCGCTTCCGGTCGCTCGCCTGTAATACAAAGATGTATCCTGGTTAAGGCTAGACGTCTCGGCGACGTGAAATCTCGTTTTAACATTTCCACGTTAATACACGCCGAGGGGGGAAAAAAGAGAGAGAGAGAGAAGGATGAGGATTATGAAGAAAGTACACCTCTCTATTTTTTCCCTCTCTCGCCGAGCTCCCGTCTTTCGTCGTGACAGGTGTTGCATTATCTTTCCGACCGGAACTCAGCTAACCGGCTATACATTTTTATTACGTCACTCCCGTTTCTGTTACCTGGTAAAACCATTATTACGAAAGGTTCTTCGGGATTTATGCCGCGGGAATAAATAAACCATCCATCAATCTATCAAGTCTCATTCAGCGAATATAATCTACTTCACGCGAACCGGAAAGGCAAAAACGGAGGGGGAGGGGAGGGGACGGTGGTGGTGGTGGTGATGGTGGTGAGAGGGTTGTAGGGAGTTCCCCGGGCGTGAGCTGGATAACGAGAGCTTTACCCACGCAGCGCGTGGCTGGTGCCACCGCGGATATTTTCACATGGAAAGTTATTGAAATACTAGTGACGTGTATCGCGCTCGAGGAAAGTTTTCCTCCGTCGGTGTGACTGGTGAAATTAATTGAATCGCTCGCTCGCTCGCTCGCGCGTTCGTTCCGCGTCGCGGAATGCGTCGCGAAACTTTTTAATGAATGTCAACTGCGAGCGATACATTCGGATAAATGATCCTGTTTTCTGGCGCGCAATTTGCCGGACCGCCGGGCCGTGGCGATCGCGCCTGCAGCACGCCGGGGAATGTTGATCGCGACGATTTCGTCCCCATTGTAAAAGTTTCGAAGCGCGAGCTGCTCTCGAAGCGCGGGCGTATTAGGCGCGTCCTCTCTATCCGACATTCTATCGGATATCGGTCACTTTCGTGAAACGAATTGAAGTACAATTTCCGGACGCGCGCACGCCGTCTCTGCACCGCCACCCATCCACCCGTCCGTCCGTCCGTAAATGCCCCCGCGGAATTTTTCCGACTCGACCACCGCCCCCTTCCCCTCGTAAATTTTCGAAAGTTTCGCGCCCATTTCGCGAAACTTTCGTCCGTCCGTTTCGTTTGTTCCCTATCCGTTTATTCGCGTTTCTTATAGCGAGACGCAGGAAATTTCAGAAGGATTGTTCGGTCCTTCCCCTCGGAGAATGCGGCAAAACGCGGAGGCAAACTTTTCGAAATTGTTTTTAACGCCTTGTAACTGGAACTCCGGGAGGATTATTCCGAGGTACGCGGACTAATGGTAAAGTTTTCATGAAATCGGGGACCTATATATTTCTTTCGATGTGGGAATATCGGTCGCGAGCCAACCAAGGCGAGCGAACGCGCGCGACCCGTTCTACGCGTGTGCGAATCGAAGAGTAATTTCCGCCCCCGTTCAGGCGATATCAAGCGGGCAGCTGTAAATTTCTGCGAGCTTTTAAGGTGTCGTGTTCTACAGACGAATCGGGATTTCGATGGTAAAATTTTAAGAGCGCGTACTTACGATCGTTATTCGCTGTATTTTTTTTATTTTTTTTTAAACAATGGACACGTTCATTGATTTCGCAGTAATGGATTCCAAGTCGACATTTTGAAGTAATTGAATTATTGAGACAGTCAAAATACTACGTCGGAATTAAACACTAAATTGTCCTACTTAATTCATTAACTTTTCGTGTTTTATGTTAAAATTATACTTAGAACATATTCAGATTTAGTTTAATTCAAATACTGTTTATAAATTTTATACTTAACTTTATATATTTCGTGTAAATTTATTGAAAATATCAGAGAATGTATAAGAATTACAATTTAACAAATTAAATTGGCTGAATTCTCTCTGAATCATTAAAAGACAAAAAGTTATTTTACGTCATTAATTTTAAGGTATACAATGATACTCGAATTTTTATCAGTAAAATTTTTTAAAAATTCTGCTAGATAAATAGCTAAATATATAGAAAATATAAAATATAGAAAAAAATATCTTAACTTGAATATAATAACAAAATTATTATTAAAAATAATAATTATTCTTATTATATGTACGAATTCTCTCTACACGCAATTGCCAGTCATAGCTCTTAAGCAATAGTAATGTTCCTTTGTTATACACAATTTTTAATTATGCACAACCTTTAATAGAGGACAACAGTAGTTTAAATTTTTAATGACAGATTTTGTTTAATTCCATTAGCGAGAAATCAATGAATTAGATAAACGGTTTCTCTTCACATTGAAATATATCCGAGCAGTCGAGATTGTGTAATTTAAATAAAAAGATAGTGTTACCCTTTTATAATGTTTTGCGAATGATCGTTGGTTGTTATACAGGACAAAATATATGATTACAAGTGTTGTATATTCGGATTATTTTCGCGCTCCATTTTGCAATTCACGTGTTTCCGCTAAGCGAGACGAGACGGGAATATCTGCGAATCAACGAGCAAAATTTGCTCCCAACCGGCGCGATGATGTTGTCGCGTAGCGAAAAACAAGCCACGATAACGAGCATAATTCAATGTCTCCCGCATGCGCGCTTCATTAATAAATTATTCAAGCTGGGTTATTGAAGCATTCGCCAACTCCGCCGACGCCTGCCTTCGCGCTCGTCGCGGATGACGAAGGGCCTTATTATGCGAAAGCGCCGCCTCGTATTCGCGTCCCTATTAATACGCGAGCGCTCGCACGTACACATATACATACATACATACATATATATATTTAGATATATGTAAACGCGCGCGCACGAACTTTGCGACTGCATAATTGCTAAGAGTTCGATAAAGCGAGCGGCAAGTTTCAAACACGGCCGAAAGCTGGGAAGGGACAGCTGCGAGCGTCCGTACGGCCGATATTCTTCTTCGCGGTCACCGAAACTGCACGATGCTTCACCCCGGTACGCGAAACCCATTAGAGCGATAAGAATTAAGAGTCATTAAGCGTGATAAGAGTGAGAGATAGGAGTGAGGGTTAAGAAGAAAAAAAAATCGTTAAGATAAGAAAGAGCGAGCGGAATAGCGCCTTTGGCGCGACAAGGTGCCATTCATCATACCAGCTCGCGTTTCCAGTCCGTTCGATTTCCAGTCCGGGATCACGAACACAGCGGAGCCCACTACGCGCGCATTTCGGGTGCCGCGAAACTTTTCCGATCCCGCTATCGGTCCTGAATAGTTTTAACGACTGTGGACGCGCGGACGCCCTCGGCTCCGGAGTTTACGAGCTGGCTATGCGAATAGTTAACGTCTGCACGGTTCTCTTTTCTGAGCACGAAATTCCGAACGGCGCGATGGCCAATAAAATAATTTTGCACGCTATAAAGCAAGGGTCCGACGACGACAGCCGGTATACGCTTTGAGAATTCATTTCGGGCCGGAAATTGCAGCTTGCGGATTGGCCAGGTCGAATCGGAATTCTGGCGCCTCGTAGCTACGCGATATACTTAATCGTCGCACGACGGAATCATATTAATTCCACGGAATCGCAAGCAAATGAGAATTTAGTCCGACAAGCGCATTTTTATTACACGGTAATTGAAATTACCTTAAATCTTTTGGTACGAAAATGTGGAACACCGGTGTGAAAAGGCGTGGTGATCTTGTCGTTTTCGAATTGTCCTCCAGCAGTGCAATTAAAAGGATTCGCGTTTATTAGCGAACCGCCACAAGAGATTTAACGCGCGATATGCATTAATTAATCGCGACGGTCAGTCGGTCCGTCGTTCAAATAAATATTAAAAAACGTTCTGCTTTAGAGAGAAGCTCCAAATGAATGTATGAAATTTTTAATTAAGCTTCAGTCAGACGAGAAGAAACGGCGAGCGGGGGGAGCTCCGCTGAAAACGCACGGCATCCCGCGGCCTGCTGTCTCGTGTCGCTCGTAAAACGCGTCGACGGCGCGCTCGCAGGAGCAAAGACTCACCATTTAGGACATGAACCCTGATGGACGCCGTATTGGCGTTGCTGGGCTTGCAGCTGTACTCCCCGGAGTCCGAGGGCTGCGCCGTCTGAATGAGAAGCCAGGAGGTGGTGACGTCGCCACCCTTCTCGGTTATCACGGAGACGCCGCCCCTGGGACTGTCGTAGCTCAGGACGTTCTCATTGTAGTACCAGAAGATGTAGGCTGGTGGCTCCGAGCTGAAGCGTATGGCGCACGTCAGGTTTATCGTGCTGCCAGCACCGACGTACAACTCGGGGCCGCCCAGTATCGTCGCCGTAGGTACTGCGATAAAGAAGAATTTTCTTTCGCTCCTCTCCTTAGCCCCTCTCTGCCTCCGCGTTCCCCTCGTTCCCCTCTCGCGTGTCTCGCCCCATTTCCCCCTCGGTCATTCGTCTCGACTCGGATAAACCCGAAGATCCCGTGCGTCGTGAAAGGTCTCTCTGTATGAAAGCCTTTTGGGAATGGTACTCTTAGCGAACGAGGGGAACGAGAGAGAAGAATCTTTAAAGCCGCCCCGCGATCCGTGAGAGGTAACGAAGCTTCTTAACAAACGCAGGTAAAAGTCAAGCTAATTGGATTAATGATGGGGTGACAACGCGGTCGACAACGTTTGCCCCTTCTGCCATTGAATGCCAGTTCCGGGGATTATCGTTAAACTGCGTTTTATTGCGTCAACTTTTCTTCCGGTTAAATTTACCGATCGCTTTGATTCACGAATGTTTTAGCGCACGAATAAACGGAACCCGGTTTGAGGATGTAGTATTTATTTTACACGCCCCGGACGTGTGTATATAGGTAATCAGTCCGAACGAATAATATCCAATTTTTCTACGTTTATTCCCGTAGATTTACTCTCTTTTCCGCTGTCCTTTCATTAATCATGTATTTACTAATTCAATCTCGTTGCTATCACAGAAATGGAATTTTTTTATTTAAAAGCCGGAAAAGAGCACGCGTCGCTCTTCTGGACCGATTTATTACGCGGATTGAGGCTGTGAAACGCGCACCCCAGAGCGGGTTTTTTTTTTGGAAAATTTCATTGAATGGTAGAATCGTAACGCGCGGGCAACGACGAGTGAGAAATTAGATTGAACGATACGATGGGGTAAGAGGGAGAGGGGGAGGAGAAACTTACCAACGACGTTCAAGCGAAACTGATACGACTTGGCAGGTATGGTGGAAATCTGACATTCGTAGATTCCCTGGTCGCGCTCCTGCGCCCATTTTATGCAGAGAGTCCACTCGGACCATTCGTTGCTGTGGCCCGTATTTTGTCTGTGCAGCGCTTGAAATCGCTGATCGCTCGTGTACGTGTACGCTCCCGCCGTCAGGATGTGGATGTCCCTGTGCCTGACCCAGGATACCTTCGCAAACAAAGTTGGCAATAATGGTGATAAATGATAAACCGATAGTCAATAAACGGAGTGTCCGAACTGTCCCTTTATCGACTGCACTACATTTCATTTAAACAATTGAGCGATCTCAATATCGTATGCTCCGTATAACGCATACAATTTTCCGTTGTCTCTTTTTAAATCCATTCCTACGGAAGATATTTCTTTTAATTTGTCCTTAAAGATCTGTAATGCAAGATTTTTTCGGGATATTTGAAAACGAATATTAAAAAGCTTACAGAGGTATTCATTTGTTCATTTGAATTTTTTTTCGAAAACTGAAAGCTGCAAAAAATTTCGCAGTCGCTTTCTATTTTTGACTTATTTTTCGACGAGAAATGATTCTATTTTCAGTTATACCGCTTTCAATGAACACAGCTGAAAAGCAACTCTCAAAAGAGTAAAATTGCAAATTTTCACGTTACTTTTACAAAGTGTTTAATGAAAAAATTATCTTCTGTAGCTGTAGCTCCATTTACCCGAAAGTGATTTTTAAAATTGTCTTTGAAGTAACGAAATTAACTGTTATAATATAACTGGATCGCGTATAAATACGGCTTTACTTTCGCGGCTCGCCAAAATTTTACGCGTCATCTTAGAATTCTCTTTCCGGCGAGAGAGCGACTTAAGTTTCGGGAAAATACGCTCATGGAAATGGAAACTCATCTCGATAACCAACCCTGATAACCATCCGTGTCGGATTTTTCTTTTGCGTCGTGAAGTGCTTCGTACGGTGCGCCTGACCAACTTCATCGCGATCCCGGAACGGAAGGACCGAACGAGAGGATCCGTCTATTTCCGTGTCCGCCGAAACGCCGAAAGCCACCGACCCGTGTCGAAACGTAAGAAAAGTTGCGGGGGAATACAGAAAGTTTCCCGTTGGCGGGTGGGGGGGAGGGAAGGAGGAAGAGGGGAGAGAGAGTTTCGGAGCGCTTCCTCCCGCGCGTTGCCAGCGCGCACGCAAAGCAGATTCCCAGGAACCCAGAGCGCGCCGCGCGTTCACGCTGTCGCTGGTGTCAGAGTGTGAGACTTTCGGGGAGAGAGAGAGAGTCTTCGGCGATTTTCCGGGAAAGACTTCGACTGGGAAATAAAAGGATTCCGCGGAACGCGGAGCGATCCAGGCGTCTTCTTACATTCGAAATCCTCTCTCGGGAAATTCTTCAGAAATAATATTATCTTAGAGGCGCCTTTCTGACATTTCAGTCATCTGCATTTTTTCTCGCGCGACTAACTTTCTTATCTTGAGGGCGGGATTAACGAGTCGTCGCGCGCGATATTGTTAAACTTTTGGATTGAATTAATCCTAAGCGAATTACATTCCTACGCGATTGCAGGTGCTACAAATATAAAATTGTGGAGTGGTGACAAATTTGCAAATTCCTCGTCTGAGGATCGATTTGATACAAATTACAATCTTATTCCTTATATATAATTTAGATTAATCTCGTTACATTTAGATTAAATGCTAAATCATTAGTTGTAAGGAAACTCCACCGACTGTCTGTCTCTGAAATTGAAGTCGTAATTATCATTTTAAATAAGAGATAACGGTAAAAAGGCCCCGGCTTAATCACATCATCCGTTCCTTTCCGTGGAATACATCGCGACGATAAGTGAATAGGGACGAGGAATTAAATTTTACTCGTGAAGAGAAAGTTCGGTCACTTAAAAGTTAAACCGTAAGAAAAGACACTTCTGTGACGCTCTCTCGTCGAAGCTCGCCACGTTCGCTTTAATATTCCGGAGGACTACTACAGAGAACTCGTCGAGCTTTCAATGAAGTGTACGCATTTCTGTTCTAACAAAAGCTGCTACTTTTATTTTCAGTGTTCACAATCAGATATGAAGCACGGCGAGAGAGTCGTAAGAAATCTACATGCGAAAAGGACTTGTGTTACTAGTAAAGATCATATACGATAAAATAAAACGTCATATTTCATCTCCTTCTCTCGAAAAGATTACAGTGACATTTTTCGCTCATTGATTTTCATATTATTAAATTTAATCAGCTGAAAATCGTGCTTGCAACATACTTTATTACTGAACGCATTGACATGCAAGAAATTATAATTAGAGATTAATTAGAGAAATATACGTAAACACACGTGCTTTTTGCACACCTGGAACTTGCGTCTCTCACACATTTCCGATCGTGCATACAGTATTGTATATGTATCGCTAAATCATAATGCTGCTAAACCATGCTAGTAGGTGCCTAAAAAATCGCATTCGCGCAAAATACAACCGCGTCGAAATAATTTATCGTTATCGTCTGTCAGCCATCCATCCCGAAAGCAATCACGTGGCAATGGGAGCAAAACCGTAACATTGGAATTCGCGGTAACGGTAAGTTCGACGCATATTAACGTCGGGTTTTCGCGCGCCCCCGACGCGCGTCCCCAATGCGGGAAATTTCAACCCTCTCTCCCCTTTCGCCTCGGTCTTTAGGAGTGTGGGCGGCTTGGCTGTTCGTCGATATTTTCACAGAGAGAGCTCCGACCTCGTATATAAACCGGGCGAGGCCGGGAGTGTGTCGGGTTCGGCACACTGTGCTCTTCCTCTCTCTCTCTCTCTCTCTCTCTCTCTCTCTCTCTCTTTCTCTTTCTCTCCCTCTCTGCCTCCCCCCCGTTGCGCACGTACATACGCGGCGTGCAAACGCCCGTTTACATATGTGCCCGCCGGTTGGCACCACTTAGCGTATTTACTCGACGAAGTTTACGTCTCTCGCGGTGTCTGGCCAGCGGTAGCTATTGCACGGGAACAAAAGCAGTTTAGCGCTTCCCAAACTTATCCATCGGGACGAATGGGGCGACTCGCGGACGCGCCGGCGGCGCGCGGAGGTAAGGGAAACGCTGCATCTCCGCGCGAAACTGCAAGAAGACGTCGGCAATGATGAATGTCGAACGTTAAGTGCAACCAACGCGAGCGCAATGGGAATCGTGGCGAGAAACGGTTTCTCATATTGCCTGCAAGGTGAGCTACTGAGCTAGCCGCGAGCCTGCCTTTGGTTACGGAAGACGCAAGGAATTCGCGAAAATCTTCCGCCCCTTCCTCTGATAATAATTCATTAAACTGCATTTTTTTTTAATCCTAAAGATTCTAACTTGCATACTTAACACGTATGCATATTTAACATTTCTGCGTTCTACTGATTTTTACTCTAAATAATTCTAAAAGTTTGTAGAAAGATTGTAAAAATTTTACAATCAATCTAAATCATCATTTAATGATTTTATTGCGTACATGTTATTTATTTAAAAAATTTAAAAAAGTACTAATATTTTTATAATTTCTCTCACATTCAGTTTTAATTGTCTTAAATTCTGCATTATTTTGAATTTAAATATTAAATATAAAAAGAGTTTGCAAGAGATGAATTTTAACAAATATTTTTTTAAAAAAACTAAGACGTGAATAAGTTAAAAAAATCTTAAATCTAAAAGTATTAAGCTTTTTATAATAAAATACTTTATTTTTTAATAATTTAAAATAAAATAATTAATAAATAATCACTAAATTAGGAATAATCTTAGTACTTTTTTGTATACTAAAATACAGAGTATGATATCATTTATCGATTTATATCTCTAATAGCGTCTACAATTACAGAAGATCAATAATTGTTTTGTAAGTTTCGCGCGGAAATTGAAGTGCTGTATATCTTCCGCGTTTTCTCCGATAACAACGAAAGAAAGGAGGGCATCTTCGAATTATTATCGCTTTGTCGGGACCTTGTTATACATGGAAAACTTCGTATTTTACTATTCTGTTTTCGCAATCTCTTTTTCACTTTTGTGCTAATTGTTGAACGCATGATTATCATGCGATTTGCGAGTTCGAAAGATGCCTTGGAGATGCCAACTTCACACATTCTAAATCCGAAGGCTAAAAAAACATTCGTTTGCCTTTGTAAATCTTGTTCAGAATTTCACAATTTTCTTTGATGTTATTCAAAAATCTAATGCAAGAGTAAAAGCAGATCTTTATTTAAAATCGACTAATTCTGAAAATAATCGAGATGATTTTTTGAAATTTAATTGCAAAGTTAAAATATTTTGTTATTGTAAAATATTTTCTTTGAGATAATATAAAACGCAGATATTTTAATTAAAATAAAATAATCAAACGATTAAACATATACACAATGTTCGCGGATCTAAAACATCTAATAAATAAAAGAGATTTTCTGTTTGAAATTATAATCCGTAAAATTGTTGGCAGAGAAATGCATCACACGAATTTTTGTATTAATGATGAAAATATTAATAATTTGACTGTTTTTTTTATAATAACGCGTTTATTGCTTCATTATTTTGCGGAATATTGCATTTCGCTTCAGTAATTTCGTCTCTTTGACTTTTTTAATGTCGATATGAGCTACATTGCGTGGAATTTCGCTGTTTTTCTCCTGATAATCCAATAGTGTTAGCGCACTAATCAGACAGGCGTTTGTATCACAAAATACGATTAAAAGCTCTCCCCTTTTGATATCGCGTTGTATCAAGTGTGTATCGGAATTTAATCCATCAACATTGAATGAAGATAATTTCGGTATTGTGCGTTTCCTGAAACATTCGATTGTACGCTTGCCTTCAGTTAAGTATCGAAAATGTGAAGCACAATGTACGTACAATATCTATATATATTAGATTTATTTACAGAATAGATTTCCTTTAGCGAAAAAAATATTGTACGTTATATTATATAAAACAGATTCAATAAAATGTTACAAGTTGTTCAATCGTTATTAAAATCTCTTATAAATGCTGCAGAGAAATACTTCCCTAAAGAATATATAAATTTTATTAAATAGAATAACATGAAGTTGGACATTGTTTTTAAGTAAAATTTAATTAAATTAATATTAATTTAAAATATTTTGTATATTAGGAATAGTACATTTTTTTAATTAAGGAAATAATGTAAAATATTTTTTATTAAAAGTATTTTTGAGGTAAAGAGAGAAAATGTAATGAAACTAGTGTATTACAGTTATTTCGTATATAGTTATTTTAAGAATTATTCGATTATATATTTTGAGATATTGTAGATATGTTTAATACTTTTTTTGGCAGACGTTATTTTTGATATGAAGTGATGTTCCTGCAATTGTTGCAACATCACACAATAGCATTTGATATTTTGTATAACTTCACGAAGCAAAATCTAGCGGTATTATGTCTGGTGACCTACATAAATGTTTGCAAAACCGGTCGATCACGTCCTGACTATCCGTTTCCAAGTTTCGTATTTATTATCTTGTATATAAATATCACAATATAATCTCGTAGAAAAGAAGCGATATTCAGAAGAGAAAGTATTTTTATTGCTATTTCAAATAGCTGAAAAAAGTGTCTTTTAGATAGGTGCAGCATCTATCCTACATATCTACATTTAGTATGAGTGACGAAATTCTTATTCCGATTATTTTTGGTGTGAGATTAGAATAATTTATTTGTCCTAGTCTTTTTGTAGAATTAATTCATAAACGTTCTCAAAGAAATGAGAGTTGTGAAATTTGGAGATTACGATAGAAATTTACATATATATCTTCAAAGTATCCGAGTGAATTAGTAATACTTGCTCGTACTTTATTATTGTATACTTACTTATTGGCTTTGCAACAAGCAGCCTCGGGGAAAACTAAACTAACTTGTAAATTGACTTTCGCGTTGCGATAGCTTAACCATTAGTGCGCGAATAATTAAATTGCTTTGTGAGAAAGCAGAAATGTGGAAAAATTTTTGAGCAAACCCCGATTCTATTATTAAGCACAATTACCACAAAACAAGTAAAACAACTATAAAAGAATGCAAAGTCAAATTTTTTCTTCTATACATATATTATTGCATTCAACGTTTTTGCAGACGTTACAATATAGCGTTTTAATTAAGTTTTCCTTCCTTTCTGTTTCTCTCTCTTTCTCTCTCTCTCTCCCTTTCTCTTCCTTTTAATTATTCCGTTACAATTAAATGCAATAAAATTTTTTTTTAAATAAAATTGTTTCTAAAAGATACTTTATTCGAGATCAAGACATTTTATTTATTTGCATCCCATTGACTTCGATTTTTTCCTCGATGAAAGTTTGAAGCGCTATTTTTTCAGGCAATTAATCTTTAATCTCAATGGTTACATCTGAAACTTTCTAAAATATTACTGAAGTAAATATAAAATAAAGTTTTGTTAACTGTTTTCATCACTGAAGTGTGAATAATTTAATTTAAGTTAAGAGAGGAAGAGAGAGAGAGAGAGCTTTTAATATTTTCAATTACTTAAAGTTCGAGAACTATTAGCGACTTTTTTTTAAGAAAGGTTTCAATGGTTGATTCCAATTCAGTACGGAAATCCATCGTAATTTGTCGGGAAAGGTAGGTTTAGCAAAAACTTGTGTAATATTTAGTTTTTAGATTTGTTAAATATCTCTCTTTTTTATCACTTTTCTTATTTTTCATAAAGCGTGAAAAATCGGTGTTAAATTACCGTTGCTCTTACAAGGATCTCTTTTGTCATCGTTAGAACGAAGTAACTGAATCCCTCGGGGGTTTGCACGAAGAAAAATACTGCATTAAGGTGAATACGAATCGACATGTGATATTCAATGGTCGCATTTATTTGAAATAAATGATAAAACTGAATATATATTTTAGAAGAATCGGTCGTATATTCTTGAAAGATTACATTGTGATAATGATCTGCGCAAGATCAATCAATTCGACCACCTCATAATGCTGATCATTCCTTTCAATGAGATCGTAATGGTAGTATTGCATCTACGATAAAATTGAGTTTTCAGTTACGTCTAAGGTCAATTAACGTTTAATCGACCCCGCGCAACTCGATTATTTCCTGCAAATCGTTTCTCTTAAAATCCCTTTATGGAGATCGATTTCCCCTCTTATTTTCGTGAGACAGAGAAAGAAAATGTGTGTGTGTGTGTGTGTGTGTGTGTGTGTGTGTGTGTGTGTGTGTGTTTAACTTGTTAAATCACAAGTTTAATTTAAATGTACAATAAGAACAAATAACATCGTGCTTCAAAAACGTGAGGTAATTATTTAAATGTATTACAAGAACAAATAATGTTCTCAAAAACTTGCTTCAAGAAAGTGGGATAATTAACATTTGTTTAATAATTCCTAATTGTAAAATGAAGAATAATACCGTTTGGAAAGCGAAGATTCATGTCCATTTTGTATAACAATTGCAAGAAATATCCCAAGCAGGGTGAAGTACCACCTATTATGCAGATGATATCTTCGTAATTTCTAATTCACACAAGGCAATATAATGAAGGTTCTTACGGTCTTGTCGCCTAGATTGCGAACTCGGCACGTGAGGTATGCAGTTTTTCCAATCAGGGCCGTCACGTTGGTGTTCTGCGAGAAGTCGAAGGTAGGTTCCGGTTTCGACTTCGGGCCGGAAGAATGATCCAGCATTTGTTGCCGTGGTCTGGTCTGGATCGCGTGTCTGTCCATGTTATCTGTCGGCCGATCTCCTAGACTCAGCGTATCTGTGTAACAAGAGAGAAATTTGCTGATTGAGTATTCAGAAGTCGTAGCGTACGCCAAATGATTAATGTTACACTTACGATCCGCGACAAAGCGAAAGTATAAATTTTACTTTTTTTTATCGCCACCCCTGTTTTATGCACCGTTTTATGTTTGATGAACTGTAGAAGCCTACATTGCGTATACCAGACGTAGATTTTATTTAAGCGTCTTGTTTTTCTTAATCGGCAAAAAAAACTCATTTGATTTCTGATTACTTTTCAGAAATTCAGTTCGTGCTGAAACACGAACTATGTTAATTTCTATACCGGTTAATTTCCGGTTGACAAATTACCCTTTAACCAAATTCCGTAACCAAACAAGCGATTAGTGAGATTTCCGGTTAATTGAAATCTGTAATGGCAGCCATTAAATGCACAAGCGAGGAGTAACAAAGCTCTAAAGCACCGACATCCGACGAAACGTTTACGACACTTTGAATTATGCAGTGTCGTGGATAGCGTGTTTTTTCCCCAAATTAATTGATAAAGTTTAAACAAAAAAACTATTAAATCGTTTTGAAACTCGAAAACCGATCTTTCATTGATTTCGTCTATTTCAATATTCGCAGAAGTTTAATATTAAAGGAGACAGGTTAATATGCGAGCGACGATCGAAGTGTCCCTCGGAATAGAATGGTATTTCATTCGACAAATCGAGACCTTTTATTCCGTCCATTCGCTGTTGGTACAATCGTCACTATCGTACAATATAAAAGCGAAAATGTTTAAACCTGTATTTTTTAATTATAAAACAATGGAACATAAATATTGCGGAGATGTTTGAAACTGTAATTTTATTATGGTAATTGTACAAGTAATGTACATTAAGTATGTCGTATTTAAATAATATATGTATATTAATTTTTAATATTCCAAAAAGAGTTCACCGAGAAATTCATATATGTATATATTAAAATATTTAAAATATAATATGAGTTTACGGAGAAAAAGTAATTTATATGTTATATCTTTCAATAAATCAAGAATAAAATTTGAAAAAATTAACAATATAATTGGAAGAAATGTGTTCGAGATACACTTTAAACTTTTGAAGAATCTCTGGTGAGGAAAGATTATGATTTTTAATTATATTTAACCAATAAAATGTAGTTAATTGTTGAGAAAGTTTAACGGGATCATTTGAGACCTATGACGTCAGCGTAGCTGTGCTCAGATGCTGCAAAATGGTCCATAGCACCCCGTGCACTTTGTGCACTGCAAGTTGTTGAGTTAGAAATGCACTCAGGAACGGTCGATATATGTCTCGAAGTAGCAGAAGTGTTTGCCTAGTGTTTGAAACTAACTCCACTGCATATTCCGGATTTAATGGCGAAAGATACATCCATCGCTATCAAACTCCATATTTTAGAATATTTAATTTTGCTCTTTTCCCTTGGTTTTATTTTAACAGTATTAATCCGAGAGGTCTCGTTACAATCTCCCTCTCTCTTAATTAAGATAAAATAAATAACGTCCAAAAAATTCTACAAATTTTATCTCTGCGAATTTTAATATGTTTAATATTATTCTGTCATCGGATACTCTGGAATATCCATTCGAAATGACTCCCCCAGCGACCGAGATTCAAAATAGTCGGGGACGATGACGCCGAGGCACACGATCGACTGCGTCTTTTCAATGCGCGGATAGAAGGGGGCGAGTAGTTCTAACAGCCAAGCGCATACAAAGTGTCTATAGTTGAGTAATCAGAGAACTGTAATAGCTGCGGGATGTATCTATAGCTGGAGGAAGATTGGATGGAATTAGATTAGATCAGAGCTCATTACGCTTCAGCTTAAGAGTGAATTAGGTGGAGAATGGGTTGTACGGGTAAAAGGACTCTCCGCTTCCGGTTAAGATAAATCTTTCTTCTCATTGTTTTTCTCATAATACATCACGTTGACGATAATGGAGACTGCCATCTTGAAGACAATGGCGATGAGCCGCAATGTACTATAGTATCTTGTCTCTCAAGAGACACCGAGAGAGTAGCTAAACTTTAAGACGTCGGTATAGCTCTTCAGCTTTGGCATCCTCGCAAGATCTGGTACGTATTAAAAGCAGCGCGTTTCATCGTACTTATAACTACCTCGCGAGCAAGTACTCGTCCCCAAAAATTAGAGCGAACGATCGCTTATCACTCCTTTCAGCTTTCGTGTATTCAAATTATAAATATTGTTCTGAAATGTCTTGCAACATGTCATAAAAGAATTTTATTAATAATATGTTTGTATTTTTGAAGTTTTATTACACGAAAGTTTGTACATTTTAATTTTATTTTTTATCTGTAAATCGGAAAGGAAATTATCAAAATGACAGATACTTTCTTTCGTCCTGCAAATATATTTCTACAGCCGACTAGACACACTCGCATTCATATACACGCATTTCGCGAAGGAAACAGATCACTGAGCTCTTCATTTTAATTTTAACGATTAAAATCGTCGAAGCTTTGTCTCTCGCGAGCAGAGGAACGGGGAGGAGGAGGGGAGTCAAGTTGTTAGCTCGATGTCAACGCATCCGAATGGAAACGCTAGATTGTAACCCCTCTAATTAACGAGGACATATCGCAGCGAGCGAGCAAAAGCTGATAGTCTACGTGGAAAACTTTGCACTTCATTAGCTTTCCACCGAGATACGCCTCAGGTGCGGCAGTCTCATGCTCCAACAATGTGATATCCGCGCAGCGGAGTGTGCGTGTGTGTGTGTGTGTGTCTACGTGTGTATGCGCGGGGGATGGGGATGCTCTCTCGAATCTCGATATACGAAGACAGCCGTGATGATATATAAGGGGCGAGTTCTGGGAAAGCCAAAGAGAAGGACTCCCCGGAGTGCATGGAAAAGCTCGTTATAAGCTCTTCGGTCTTAGTTGCCGCTACGAAATTAATTAAAGCAAGTGCTCGCTCAGGCGGGCGCGAGATATCAAGAAATGTCCTTTTGTTGGTTGCGCATAGCGCGCTGAATTCGCGTGCGGCATCATTCGCGAGAGATAATGAGCGACGGGCGCGGATGTATTCTTACGAATGCCGAAGTGCACTTAAGCCCGGGAAACGAGGGGGAGAGGAGGAGGAGGAGAAGGGGCGGAAAGATTATTAAGATAAAGATTGAGTTTCCTCTCCACGCCATAACTTGGCTAAGACGTTGTTCGGTGTTCGCTTATATCTTGTTCGTCGCCATTGTGCCCCGTCGCGTATATAGTACGCGATATAGTGCAGTGCTATAATACACGCGGCTTGCGTGTTTCTCGTGGAGTGTATACTATGTTAGATGTATAGAACTATGTTATCCAGATTTTATTAATTTATATACTTCGCGTAGATATATATATATACATCTATTACATCTACGCTGGATAATTATAATTATACACGTAATAGAATAGTTCACTCCAGCCTCCGTAACATTATGTTGTTTTACAGAGATATTAAAATAATATAAATAAGTTTTGATTACATGTTTAAAATATAATAAATAAAATATATTATTTATATCATTTAATTCTAGACAAAAACATTTTCAATGGAAACGTTCTTATTATAGCAACCATTGACCAGTTTCACGAAAGTGGGATGTGCCCTCTCTGCGAGAGAGAAACGAAAGATAACAGAAATTACGTTCAACACAGAAGAAAACACATTCCGCGTGAAGCGAGATTGCTCGCGAATGGATTGGAAATATAACTCAGATAATTTTCATCGATTTATAGACGACTAGCCGTTCAGCAAATTACGAACCATTCGTTTTGAGGGAATTGAGAAAAAAAGCTGGATTTGTCGGCGGGTTCATGTCGGCGCTTCCTCCCTTTTTTTTTGTCAGGAGCGACTCCCAGTAATTGCACTTTCTGTCACTCGGCATCATTTGACATGGGTGGTTACTCTTGTTATTACGGCCGCGCCCGAGGTCATAGATTTACGACAGGTGCAATAGAATAACTCTCTGCGTCCCTCGGTTGAAGATATTACAGGAGAAAGAATAATCGCGGAGAAAGACGCCGCAACGTCTTTAAAGTTAGCTTCGTATTTTTTGAACCTGGCATTTTTCATTAATTATTTAGGTCATGTATCGCAATTTTAGTAACGCAAATTTGCAAATGAAGAAAGATCCCACGATAATGATTCCACAGATTGAACAGAAAGAAGCGTTATTAACTTTATATTTATTAATTCTTTCAGCCTTCCCTCAAAGATTGAAGTTTCTATAACAATAGACATTTATTGATTACACATCTTTGTTTTATACAACTTGAAAGTAAATTTAATATCTCAAGAAAAAAAACTGTACAGGTATAAAGATAAATCAATCATGGGGATAGATCAATCATGGAGGGATATCGACCAAAAACAATAAATATAGATAGATTTCCCGCGAAAATTCACTCACTGAGACGATGGGGATCATCAATTTCAGTAGGCAGTTTTTCTGCGAAACTTGGACTCGCGAGGGATTAAACAAACGCGGTTTTATTCTCACAGCGCAGAAACTTGTAATTCTTTCAGTAGATAAAGTAACGTCACAGTCGAGAGATAAGTTAGAAAGTTTTAGATAATGATTTTCGTTTATGATCCCTTCAGTCGCTCCGCTGTCAATTTAGGGTATCGTGTGTAATTTAGCGTGTTATTGCTACAAGCCCTCCGTTCACGCGCGCCCAGGCAGCTCGGCGGCGGCGGCGGATGCCGGAATTCATTACGCTGGAAAATGGCTCGCGAAGCGGGCCGCGAAAAAGAATGGCATAGAGTTATTGATACGAAAGTACCGATAGATATATTGTAACAGCTGCAGCAACCGCAGCCGTATCATAAAACGCCCGATGATGGAGGAGGAATAACGATATCTCCAGCGGGCACATATTTCTCGCGTTACTAACGCTATCGATCGTCACAAAATAATCTTCGCGGCCGCGCCTTTTTCCCCGGGAAAATCCGGGGGGACGAAAAATCACTTTTCGCGCGTCGAGATGCTGC